TAATACAAGAATTCGAAATAATTTGCACTAATAAAACGAAATGATAGAAAAAATCCTCAGGAATGAATGAATTCCATCATTTAAATAAAAATATCCAAAATTCAATAAACGAATATTTAAATACTTAATGAATTATCCATTTAAATTGAAGAAACGCGAATGACTTACAGATCAGAATCAATGCTCCGATTCGAGAGCTGCAGAATACTGATAGAAAGTAGGGAGCTGTAAAAACAGCCGCGAAAACCAGTTCTATCGATCACCGTTATCAACTTTTTATTGCGTTCGTTCGCATCGCGATTTCTCAACTCATGTTAGCACATCTGAAATTGGATAAATAAACCCGCTATCTTTGTGACGAAGTCAGACGACGTAATCGTAACGTATTATCAGCTGTATTCAGGGTTATTAATTGTTCAAACCGAACTGCTGTCAACTAAGACTAAGAATTATTAATAAAATGTATAAAATCGTAGTTGTCTTTTATTTAGAAAAATTAATTACGTTTTCGGTTGACGTTAATTGAAACACCGACTGACGCAGTTAAATATTCGTTTATGTAATAGTGAATAAATTCGACGTAAGCAGGTAGGAAGTCTGGGATGGGAGCAGGTGTCCGAGGATTACAATGGAGTACTTATAATAGAGTCTATTGTAATATTTTTCAATTGTGTGACCCAACAGAACGGTAGGTTACTCGAGAATCGATTTTTTACTTGCCACTTGCCATCAGTAGTCAAACTGTGTATGAAACGTTACGACGCGACGGAGGCGACGTTGGTAAATCGATAAAAATTATACGTTACACTCATTTTAAATATAATCGGAACGGTGAAGATCATTTGTTTCTACTTGGTCCGGGTAGAACAATGAAGCACATGTTCACCACGTGGTTTCAACTGAGCGCAAACCGTGCAACTGTTCAGCAATCGATCGACTGCTATGGTCACAGTGTCGACATTTACTGAGCTTTAAATAGCTCTAGAGGGCTAGAGAGTAGAGACTAGGAAAGAGTTGATGCCAACTTGTTAGGTGATTCGAAATACAGCGGGAAGGATGAGAAATGAAATTGAATATGATTTGGAGATTGATTTTTTAACAGGAACAGAGAACTGTTATGAAAGTATGCAAATTAATTCGGTGATAAGTATGAAGAAGTGATTATGTATTGTTAAACTCTAGAATTTCTTGATTTAAAGTTTGCTTTTCTAAGAGAAATGAAGAATAGAAGTGGAAGTGTGCAAATTGCTTTTATGAGAAGGATAGAGAGGTAAGTCTAGATTATTTAGTTAATTAATTATGTATTTCTTCAGTTGGAATTTAATTTCCTAACAAAAATGAAGAATACCAATGGAAGTATGCAAACTGCTTCTATAAGAAGGATAGAGGAGA